CCATTCGGTACCTCAGGGCCCCAGGCTCCACCTGGCCCTCTGGCTTGTTAACCTTGAGTTCTTCCCCATTAAGGAACCAGGTCCCCTGGATGATGGTGGACAGATCAAGGGAGAAGACAGCATCTTCCCCATCATATACCTGCACATCCTCCAGACCTGCCACCAGGCGAGCTGTGGGCACTGAGGTAGGACAGAGTGTAGCCATCAGAACCGGAAGGGGACAGAGTGAAGAAACCAGAAAGCAGAGGGCTGGGCTGGCAGTCCCTGAGGACAGGAACTGAGGGCTGGGAGAGGGAGAAGGGGTGATGGGAGGACATGACTTGGGGTACAGCCACTAACAGGCAGGGTCTGGCAGGATGACTCACCAAGGTGAGCAGAACCATGGAACACGACGTGGGGACTGCGGCCATGTTCGCTAACTGTGCAGACGCGGAAACGGTAGTCACCCTCCGAGGGCACGCAGTCGCCTGGCACCTCCACAGCTCCAGCTTTCTCAATGCTGAAGCACTGGATCCAGTCTTCAGAGCCCACCTCCTGCCGCTCCAGGCGGTAGATAAAGGGGGTCTCAGGAGGTGGCTCAGGAGGCTTCCAGGTCAGTAGGACCGTGTTCTTGTGGCCCTTGAACATCTCAGCCAGCACCGGAGGTCCTGGAGGATTGTGCTTGACACCTGAGACAAGGGCAGGGTTTGCACTCAATCTTGCTCAAGCCTCCCACAGCCCTCCGTCTTTGAATATACTTTGCTGACCCCGGCTCTGGTGTCTGGTCACCCTCCCACCCTGGCCTTCCTGGGCAGAGGCCTTCATGTCCTCACATTTGACTCTGAGCAGAGTGGTGGTGCGGGAGTTGCCTAGGCTGAAGGTGACCTCTCCAGCTTCTTCTCGGGTAACCCCTGGAAGGACCAGGGCGTGCATGTGACCAGAACTGCTCTGGCAGGTAGCTGGCAGCTCCTCCCCGTCACGGCTCCAGCGCCCCTCGACCCCGGCCTCTCGCGTCTCCACCAGCAGCACGGCGTTCTCTCCCTCCAGCACATCAAGCTTCCGGGGCAGCCTCTTCAGTATGGGCCCTGAGATGTGCACGGCAAGCCATCAGCCCAGGGCTAGGCACCTGCTGGCTATAGCCTCAGCCTCAGCCTCTTCCCACTGGCCAGCTGACCTTTAACTGTGACATTGGCCACTGTGCGCACCCGGCCTCTCATCTCGCACAGGTAGACACCATCATCATCTGCCTTCAGCCTGTGGATGATAAGGCGCCTGACGGTGCCCTCTTCAATCTGTTCATACTTGCGGCAGGGCAGCAGCCGCTGGTCCTCTCGGAACCAGGCTGTGGGAATGCGGGAGTTGGGCACTTTACACTCCAGCACCGCAATCCCATGCTCCCGGCCCTCCACATCCTGCAGGGGCCTCGTGAAGCGGAGGCGGGGCTCTGCAGAGAGGGGAGAGACAAGAGAAGGCTCTGGAGAGAGGCCAGCCCAGGAAGAGGGCTCCTGAACATACGTGCGATCTCGTTCTTTGCTCTTTCCCCAGAGACAGCAGGCACATGGAATCATAAAATCATAAATTATAAGAAGGGAAGTCAAACGATGGCCTTCTCATCTGACCCTGACACTTGCTAGCCACATCACCTTGAGCAAGTCCTGTGACTCAGTTCCCTTACTTGTAAAATGAGAAAAGCAAGGGGAGAAGTTAGTTCTCAGGTCAGTGATTTTCAAACTGGTCCCTTAGGCTTCTCAGAGGCACCTCACAAATTCTGCCAGGGTCCGAGTCGAATTTCATTATTAAGGTATTCTAACCATTTTCAAAAATATAGTAAAAAGAAAGAAAAGTTAGGAAAGAGAAAAGATAAAAAGACATATGATGCTGGAAAATACCAGCGGGTTAACTTGGGTTGCTGGAGAAGCTGGTTTTTTATGGCACTCTGGGAAGTTCCTCTTGCCTTCCCTCTGGGCTTTTCTTTCTTGATGAAATTCCAATTCAGCACTGGCCTGGCAAGTTCGTGCACATAAAGCTGTACCAGTGAGGCCACTGCTACAAGCCCAGGTGCCACACGCTTGAGTGAGTGCCAGGCAGGGCTCGGAAGAATTTGTCAACATTTTTTTTTTCCCAGCAGAAAGTTGAGTAATAACCAGTGAAGGTATAACCCCTCATGTTGTGATGAAATCCTATTACAGAGAACTTTAACTTCCAGTGTGAGCATGGGGCGTGTTTTTGTTTTGTATGAATTTTCTGTTTGTGAATAAGGTAAGCATTTATTAGATATTATTGGTGATTCAAGTTTGAAAAACAAATTTTCTCTCCTTCACCTTCCTCTTTTTTCAAACTTAAAAAAGCAGTTTAATGAAAGAATAGCCAAAAATTATGGGATATTTTTCCTCTCCTGTGAATGAATAGTTTCTCTACTTGATGTCAGCATCAGGGCCTTCCCCACAGGTTCAGAGACTAGACCCACTATGCGTCCAGCCTCCACTCCAAATGTGTGCACTCAATACTGCAGTCCCTTGTTCTCACTGATTAACCTTGTAAGTTTAGACCTAGCCTTATTCGTTTAGACAGATAAAAATGCTCCTTATATCTGTCTTACATATTGGAGTTACAAATGGGAATCCAGTTGAGGAAGGGCTAAGATAGCAAAGGTTGGAAACCACTGGAGAAGAGATCTAGGGTTCTCGCGGTTTGTACATCAACCATTTCTTAGTGCCTTGGAATGGGCTAAGAAATTCCTGAATGTCTTGGAAACCTACTAAATCAAATCTCTGAGGGGTGAGAGGCAGTCAGTCAGGAAACTGGTATTTAAAGTTTCCGCCTGTCGCCCAGACTTCGGCACCAAGGGGAGCACGAGTAAGGAGGACCTCAGAGGGCGATGGAGGCCCCTCCCCAGCCCCAGAACGCTCAGAGGGCGCTACCTTTGACGTGCAGCTGCACAGCGCTGAGCGTTTGGCCAGCAGAGTTCCGCGCTGCGCAGACATAGAGCCCGCGGTCCTTGGCCTGGCAGTAGAGCACCTTGAGCACAAAGCCGCCATCGCGATCGCGGTACATGAGGCGGCGGCGGTCAGGAAGCAGGGGGCGGCCCTCCCAGTGCCATTCGATCTCGGGCTCAGGCTTGCCCATCACGTAGCAGCGGAACTTGGCGTGCTTGCCCTCGTTCACCCAGAAGGTCTTGGGCGCGCACTTGAGAGGCTCCACCACCGGAGCGGGGGCCTCCTCGGGGTCCTCCGGCGGGCTCTCGGGGGGCTGGTGCACCTGGAGCAGCGCGCCGGCCTGCGCGTGGCCGTGCGCGTTGCGGGCGTGGCACACGTAGACGCCCGAGTCTGGCAGACGGGCCGCCAGGATGCGCAGTGCCAGGCTCGTGCCCGGGCCACCCGCGGCGCGGCCGGGCTCCAGCACGAAGTGACTGCTGTCCCACACCTCGTCCAGGGCCATCCCATCCTTCTCCCAGTACAGCGTGGGTTCGGGGAGGCCCCCCACCTGGCACGTCAGCACCACCTCCTCCCCCCGCAGCACCCACTGGGACCGGGGTCCCGTCAGGAACACCGGGGCGCCCTCCCCGGTTCCCGGAGGCGGCAGCGGGTGCTCGGCGGGTTGGGGCTCAGGCTCGGGGGCCGGCGGCTCCAGCACGGTGACCGCGGCTGCCGCGTAGGCCTCTCCGGCCGCGTTACGAGCGCGGCACACGTAGACCCCGGCGTCGGTGGGCAGTGCGCCGCTCAGCAGCAGGCCATGCTCCGCGCCGTCCGCCGGGAAGCTCAGGCGCTCCGAGGCCGCCAGCTGCTGCCCGCCTTTCTCCCACACGACAGTGGGCGGCGGCTCCCCCAGGACCACGCACTTGAGCTCGGCCTCCGCGCCACTTACCACCCGCACGGGCCGCGGGAAGCGCAGGAAGCACGGGGGACTTCCTTGATCCCCTGAGCCTGCCTTCATCGCGGTGGCTGCGGATGGCCCGCCGCGGCGCGGGGGAAGGGCGGTCGGCGGTGGCGCCGAGGCCGGGAGAGCAGCACGAGTCCCGAAGGCTGGAGCGTTGGGGACCCGCGGAGCTCGCCCCAGTCCACCCCTTCCCGGCTCGCCTCCTTACCCTCGGCCTGGAGCAGCAGATCTGGCGCGCGGCGGAGACTCCCCGGCCCGCAGCCCAGAGCTTAGGGGGCAGTCCTTCCTGTTTGCCTTTCCAGCGAGGGGCCCCGCAGCCTCCTCTGCCCGCGGCCTGGCTTCCTGCTCTCTTCCCAGCCCCCTCCCACAGCCTGGGCCTCTTTCCTCCCTCCCACCTCCAGCCGCCAGGTCCCCAACTGCCCGCCAGGCTTGGGCCTGAGTGGCAGAGGCGCCTGCAGCTGCCAATCCCAAAAATATTCTCTGATGACACAGCTGGAGGACAAGGGCCCAGACTGGCTCCTCCAGGCTAAGTATAGAGCAGGCTGGACCACCTGCCCCGCGCCCAAGCCCCAGTTCTAGTTGCAGCCCAACCCTTCGCTTAGGCTAGCCCAGCAGTTGCTTGGTTGAAGGGCTCTCAGAGGGGCTAAGGAAGCTGATGCATTCTGTCTTTCTGACAAAAGACACTTTCAGAAACTGGCCAAACCCTGGCCAAGCAGCTCTCAGGCTGCTTCTGTCCCACCTGAGGTCACCTCTGTGCTGGGTGCTGAGACGTGAGACAGTGTTTGTGTGTATGTGTGTGTGTGTGTGTGAGAGAGAGAGAGAGAGAGTGTGTGTGTAGGGGGAAGGTGTATGTTTGTATGTGTGGGTCAGGTCACTCCGGGTGAACATCCTCCCCAGCCCCCTCTCCCACATTCTTGGCCCCAGTGGGAGATAAGGCTCAGGGCCACAGACCTCTGCGTCAGAGATAGGAGGTCTCAATGCCATGGGCAGGGGTGACTTGGACTGCAGGGCGTGGGAAGGGCTGGGGAAGAGGGGTGAGAAGGATAGAAGAGGGCAGGTGGTGGGATGGGGAGAGGAGGTTGCAGAGGCCTTGGGCAGACCCTGATAGAGAGGACACAGGGCAGGGTGTGGGTTCCCCATTGGCAGGGCCAGGTGAGCTATGGTACCTCAGCTGCCCCTGCTGCTGCTCTTGCTATTAGCCCCGCAGGGTGGGCAGGGCTGCCATGGGCTGGAGCTGGACAGGGAACTTGTCCTGGCCAAGGTGAGGGCCCTGTTCTTGGATGCCTTGGGGCCCCCAGCAGTGATGGGGGAAGGTGGGAGTCCTGGAATCAGGCGGCTGCCCAGAAGACACGCTGTGGGGGGCTTCACACGAAGGGGCTCTGAGCCCGAGGAGGAGGATGTCTCCCAGGCCATCCTTTTTCCAGCCACAGGTAACAAGGGTGGGGAACCAGCAAGGTGACTTTGAGAAGCACCTGGGCTTGGGAGGAGGATGACCTGGGTTTGAATCCCAACCCTGCCACTCAGCTGGCTTAGCATCAGTGGATCAATTACTAAAGTCCCCTGAGCCTCTGTCTCCTCAATAATGCCCACTCTTAGGGTTGAGTGAGCTGGTGAGCTTATAGAGTGACTGAAACATGGGAGGCATTTTGAGGTAGAGCTCTCTGGGCTTGGGCTCTTCCTGCTATCTTTTCTCTTAACTCTGCCTCTGCTCCCTGCCCAAGCCTTGTTTCTTCAGCTCCAGGTAGCTGAGACTTGAAGAGAGATATCAGGGAGGCAGGAGGATAGATTAGTTGGGAAGTTAGTCTATCTTCTCTTGAGTTCCTGTCTCACTTCCATTTGTGTTTCCCCTCATTCTACTGACTGAATGAATAAAGCCCTCCTCTGGCCCAACTTTCTCACGGAGGACCCTCTGCCTCCCTGGCTTCAGCCCACCTGCAGCATACTGGAGAAAAGTATGACTTTAGAATCAGGCAGAATTCCAGTATGGCCATTTAGAAGTTGAAAATCACTTCATCTCTCTAAGCCTCAGTTTCTTATCTGAAAAATGGGTCCATTTTTATGAATTTATAATGAGAGAAGCTTTGTAATAGTATAGCCCCAACTGCCTGGGGCTGGCCCGTGATTATTTACTATCATCGATGTATGTCGGGGCAAAGATGCCAGCTGCTCTTTCTTGGGAAGGACAGCCCTCTATTCTGTTACATCCCTAGTCCTCCTCCTCTTCTTTTTCTTTCCTTTCTTCCTGTTGTGTGTGTGTGTGTGTGTGTGTGTGTGTGTGTATTAATCTGACTTTTAAAAATGGAATTATTTTTAAAAACTTTTCATATAATGCTTCTGACACTCCCAGAGTTATAAAGAGTAATATAACAAAGTCTAACAATTCTAAATATTGGTGAAGGTAGAGAGTGACAGGGACTTTTCTTTTTTTTTAATATTTATTTTTCAGTTTTTGGTGGACACAACATCTTTATTTTATTTTTATGTGGTGCTGAGGATCGAACCCAGCGCCCCGTGCATGCCAGGCGAATGTGTTACCGCTTGAGCCACACCCCCAGCCTGACTTTTCTTTTCTTTTTTTTTGATACTGGGGATTGAATTCAGGGGCACTTTATCATTGAGTTACATCCCCAGATCCCAGTTCTTTTTATTTTGAGGCAGGGTCTTGTTAAGTTGCTCAGGCTGGCCTCGAACTTGGGATCCTCCTGGATCAGCCCCTTGAACTGCTTGAATTGCATGTGTGTGCCACTGTAACCAGCTAACAGAAACTCTTACACATTGCTCTGTGGAATATTAATTGAAAAACTACCTCAAAGAGAAGTTGGTGATGTTTTGTGTGTGTATGTGTATTTTTTTTTTCTTTTTTGCAGTGCTGGGGATTAAACCCAGGACCTCATGCATGTGAAGCAAGCACTCTACAACTGAATTCTATACTCAACCCCTATATTGTATTTTTTTCTTTCTGTCATATAACTCTGTTTAACTGAGGATGATCCACAATGGTCAGGGGGCATACTAGATTGAAATTCTCATATTTTGGTTCTATGCTTAGTCTTTCTTTTCTCTTGCTTTCCAAAACATTTACAAGGTGTGTATGTGTGTGTGTGTGTGTGTATATATATATAAATAATATATATATATATATATATAACCAAATAATTTTATTCTAATTCTAGTCCTAATGTTGTTTAATATAGTCTAATATTGTTTTCCTTCTTTTTCTTAAATATCTCTTTAGTTGTCAATGGACCTTTATTTTATTAATTTTTATGTGGTGCTGAGACTCGAACCCAGTGCCTCACACATGCTAGGCAAGCTCTCTGCCACTGAGCCACAACCCCAGCCCTCTTCTTTTTTTTTTTTTTTTTAACTTTTTTTTTTAATATTGGGGATTGAGCCCAGGGGCCCTTTACCACTGAGCTACATATGTACTCCAGTTCTTTTTATTATATATATATATATATTTGTTTTGAGGCTGGCTTCAAAGGGGCAATCTTCTTGCCTTAGTCTCCTGAGTTGCTGGTTTTACAGGAGTGTGCCCCTGTATCAGCCCTGTTTTACATTTTTAAAATGCTTTAATAATTAAGTGAAAAAAATGGGGAGCCTATTTCAGTTCTCCCAAGACTTGGGAGAAGCCCTAGGTCTGAGAGGGCCCTTAGCAGAGTGTATGGCATAACATTACCACTGGTGAATGGCGGCCACATCTCTCCTGATGAGGCAAGGGGAGAAGGGTTCCAGGTCTTGCTGGTCAGGGCTGCCCTCTCTCTTTTCTACTGTCCCTTGCAGGTGCCGGCTGTGAGGACCAGCCAGCTGTTGGAGGGCTGGTCCAAGAGGCTGAGGAAGGTGTCTTCACATATGTGTTCCGGCCATCCCACCACACACGCAGCCGACAGGTGACTTCGGCCCAGCTGTGGTTCCATACGGGGTTAGACAAGAAGGGCACAGTGGTCTCCAATAGCTCTGGGCCCCTGCTAAGCCTGCTGGTGCTGTCGTCTGGGGGACCCATGGCTGTGCCCATGTCCCTGGGCCAGGCACCCCCTCGCTGGGCTGTACTGCATCTGGACACCTCTGCTCTCCCTCTGCTGACTCACCCTGTCCTGGTGTTACTGCTGCGATGTCCTCTCTGTTCCTGCTCAGCCCGGCCAGAGACCACACCTTTCCTGGTGGCCCATACTCGGGCCAGACCACCTAGCGGAGGGGAGAGAGCTCGGCGCTCCACTCCCCCAATGCCCTGGCCTTGGTCTCCTGCGGCTCTGCGCCTGTTGCAGAGGCCTCCAGAGGAACCTGCTGCCCACGCCTACTGCCACAGAGCTGCACTCAACATCTCCTTCCAGGAGCTAGGCTGGGACCGGTGGATCGTGCACCCTCCCAGCTTCATCTTTCACTACTGTCATGGTGGCTGTGGACTGCCCACTCCGCCAGACCTCCCCCTGCCAGTCCCCGGGGTTCCCCCTACCCCTGTCCAGCCCCTTTCTTTGGTGCCAGGGGCCCAGCCTTGCTGCGCTGCCCTCCCGGGAACCATGAGGCCCCTGCACGTCCGTACCACCTCAGATGGAGGTTATTCTTTCAAGTATGAGACAGTACCCAACCTTCTCACACAACACTGTGCTTGTATCTAAGGAGTTCTGCTTCCTTAGCCCAAAGCTGGTGACCAAACCCTTACCACTGTCAGCTGGGAGGAAGGGCAGAGTGCAGAAAATAAATGGTTCCCCCTTACTCCTTTCTTCTACTTCTCTGCCAGAGGGATCCCTCCCCATTCCCCCCACCATGGGCAACATGTGATAATAAAGAACAGTGCATATGACTTGGCATGCAGTCTCAGGCTTCTCTGAATTGACGTAGGGTAGGTTTGGGCCCCAACAGCATGGGATTGTGGGATTTCAAGTCACTTAGCCATACTTGACCTCACAGATCTGGGATCTAAGAGCTGCAACTGAGTGTGTTTCTGTTGGGAAGTTCAAAGGTGTCCCAAGCTCCTTGGAAGCCACTCTGGAGGCAGAATTGGCCCTCTTGCAAGCTGACATGTCAATCAGGCTGCCTGCCCTGCCACACCTAAAAGAAACTGCTATACTCAGTATCTCTATCCATTGTGGCCATAAGACCCCTCCCCTGCCATTCTCTACCCTTGTTGAGGATGCCCTGCTTAAGCTCAGGGGATTCAGAACCTGGTCTTTGGAATCTCATGGAGAAAACTGTTCAGAGTTAGTCAGATCTTGGGATCTCTTGGGAGGTTGGGTGGAAAGAAAGGGACAGATGTATGAGCTGGTGGTGTCAGAAAGAAGTTTAAAAGGGCAGAGAGATGGTGTCATGTTGAAGTCAGATCACCAGAATGAAGACCCGAGAATTTCATTTTGCTGAAGTTCCTGGAATTTTTTTTTTTTATTGTTGGTTGTTCAAAACATTACATAGTTCTTGACATATCATATTTCACACTTTGATTCAAGTGGGTTATGAACTCCCATTTTTACCCCTTATACAGATTGCAGAATCACATCGGTTACACACCCACTGATTTATATATTGCCATACTAGTGTCTGTTGTATTCTGCTGCCTTTCCTATCCTCTACTATCCCCCCTCCCCTCCCCTCCCCTCCCCTCTTCTCTCTCTACCCCATATACTGTAATTCATTTCTCCCCCTTGTTTTTTTTCCCCTTTCCCCTCACTTCCTCTTGTATGTAATTTTGTATAACCCTGAGGGTCTCCTTCCATTTCCCTTCTCTCTCCCTTTCCCTCCCACCAAGTTCCTGGAATTTGAATCTTTCCCTGTCTCCTGAGGCCTCGCTGAACTGGGGTTCTGGCTCTTGAAATCTTTGGCTCCCTTGATGCCCCTCATATACCTTGAGGTAACTCCTTAACTCACCACTTAACACCAGAAAGACAGAGACCACCACGGGGGAGGGGGGGAATGTGTACCCATGAGAGGGCAGGGCATAGTGCCAAAGGTCCTTTCCTTTCCTTTTCCCGGTTTGTTTCCTATTGTCCATCTTCCTCTAGAATTGGGCATAGGGACACCCCCTTCTCTGGCCTTTCTCTGTGCTTTTGTCTTGCTCTCATTGTCTCCATCTTATCTACCCCAGGGTTCTGGCTCTCAACTGATTGGTTCCATCATCCAGTCTGTAAGTGAGTGAGTGTGTGTGTGTGTGTGTGTGTGTGTGTATGTAAGAGGCAGAGATGTTCCATCTATTAGAAACTCATTCTAATACTGACTGCATAACTCCAGCGTGTATTTGTGCTGAGAGTCTGATTTGTCAAAGGCTCCCTGCTACCAGCCCTGCTTAACGGGTGGGTGAGGAAGTGCCTGCCCCAACAATGGGGAATGGAGGGGAAAGAATCTCAACAGGTCACACTTGTGCTAACACCCTTCCCCCCACCTGCAGAAACCTGAAGGAGCTACTGTTCCCCCAGCACAGGGGCCCTCGGGAGCAGTACAAGTGCACTGCATACTTCAGCACAAACCCCAGGCTCTGTCCACAGAGTCCCCACTGCTGCCCTCACACTGGAGGGGCGAGGGCTTCCGTTCACACTATGGAATCTCCCTTAATCTCTAACCAGCATTGCAACTACTTGTGCCCAGGGCCAGTGGGGGATGGGGGATTTTCCTCAAGGCTGTTTGTGATCCCTGTTCCCTGCCCTTCCCTAGGATGCTGGGGCCTCTAAGTCTCCGAGCTCCACGTCCCAGGGAGGTGGTTAAGCTCTGAGGGTTGGGGACATTCTACTCAGGGTCACAGGACTCTGCACTAGGTCAGTTAGCAGATTGGTGTTGTAAGTAAAGTTTTTATATGTCTGAAGCAAAGTAAGAAAAGTGAGTACAGCAAAATAAAGCACAGCGCCAAGTGCATTCATTTTAAAGGGCTGTTCTGTATTCCTGAGTTACTTTTTCTGTGTGTGTGTGTGTGTGTGGGCATGTGCACGCATTTGTGTGTGTGTGTTATTTCTTTTATGATATTATAAAGATGAAAGGTAGTAGGTGTTTTACTTTTTTTTTTTTTAAAGTTCTATTTAACAAAATTAAACTTAGCAACTCTAGTTTGGACCCTAAGATTTTTCTTTAGATTTTGCTGTATGGCAAAATTCCAGTCTGGGTCACTGGTCTGGGCCTTCTGGAGTCTCTGAGTCCTTAGATTCTGCTAATTTAGCAAACCAGAGAGCTATGTCCGGCCCTCTCTGAGAGGATTCCAACAGTGGCTAAGGATATCTTTTTTTCCTTGCTCCTCACCATGAATCCAATCCCAAAGCAGTGGATTTCAGCTAAGCTCCTTGTTCCCAGTGCTGCTCTGTGAAAACTCTTAATACAGAATCAGATTAAACAGAAACCCAACATAGACAAAAAACAAATTAGATAATAACTGGATAACTGGCTCATGACCAGTCCACAGATACCACTGGCTAAGGTATGGCTTAACTCTAGGTTCAAAAGATGCTACTTACCTGTAGGTGCTACTTTCCCTGGGTCAACTCCATTCAAGATTCAGGGTAACTCTGGGTAGCTCTAGGCCCCCATCAATCCACCACTTGGTCTAGTATCAGAGAGTTGGCTTCCAGAAGTCCTAGGAGAGATCCATCCTCCACATGACTAAAAATGATCCATCTATGTGCTCATGTCACTTAGGTGACTTAAAATGCTGTTTAAACAGAGTTTAATTTCCTTTGTGTGGTGTGGAAGCCTTTGGCAATCTATCCTAAACCCATCTATGCAGCCTGATTTCTTACGCATTCTTCTCTTCCTCTCTGCCTGCTATGGCCTGAGTGTTGGTGCCCCTCCAAAATGCATATGTTGGAACTTAACCCCCAAGGTGATGGGTTTAAGAGGTGAGTCTTTGGGAGTAATTGGGTCATGAGGGTTCTGCCCTATATGGGATTACTGCCTCTATGAAAGGACCCAAGAGAGGGAGTTTATATACTTCCTTCCCTCCCTACGACCACGTGAAGATGCAGCAGCAAGACACCATCTAGAGAGGACAGAGCAAATCCCCATCAGACAATGAATTTGTAACCCCTTGATTTTGGACTAGAACTATGAGAAATAAATTTCTATTATTTATCTGATGCAGCTCTAGGGATCAAATCCAGGGCCTTGCACGTGTCAGGCAAGCACAGTACCACTGAGCTTTACCTCCAACTCAATTTCTACTATCTACAAATCACCCCATTGAAGGTATTTTTTATAGCAGCAGGAACAGACTAAGAAAGCACCCGAACACACATACCCAGACTCTGTTGACGCTAATCCTGGTCATTCCCCAAATACATCTTTGTCTTTTCAAGTATCCCTGTTTTTAGCAGGGCTCCTTTTCTCAGGCCACGCCTCCTTTAAGACACAATTCTGATGGTATCTATACTGTGACTCTTCCCTTGATTCCAGTTTTTCCTTTTTCATTGCTTCTTGGACACTTTATTCTTTTTTAATTTTAATTTTCCAAAAAAGTTTTTCTTTAAAAAAATTTTATAAGTGGACTGGGGTTGTAGCTCACTGGTAGAGTGCTCTCCTCACATGTGGAAGGCACTGGGTTCAATCCTCAGCACCATATAAAAATAAAAATAAAGGTACTGCATCCATCTACAACTAAAAAAAAATTTTTAAAAATTTCATAGGTAACATAGATCCATTCTCACAGTAACAATTAAAATACTGAAGATAAAGCTGAGGTTCCCCTTGATCATTACTATTTTTTAATATTTATTTTTTAGTTATAAGTGTACACAATATTTTTTATTTTATTTTTATGTGGTGCTGAGGATTGAACCCAGTGCCTCATGCATGCTAGACAAGTCCTCTACCTCTGAGCCACAACCCCAGCCCCTGATCATTACTATTAATTCCAGTTCCCTCCACAGAGTCAAGTATCCTACCCTACATTGTTCTATGAGTTTGTGTACGTAAATGTGCCTTGTAGAAAACGTCTTTTCCCCCAATGATAAGTATCATGCTATATGTATTGGACTGCAATTATTTTGCTTTATGTTATGAGTTTTCTTTAACTTTATTTTCTAGTCTATTACCTTTATTCCTGTAACAAACCCCTCTAGTAAGAAATAAGCTTCATTTGTTAATTTTATTATTTATACATCAAGTATTAATATAGCACTATGTACCAGGCACATTGCAACCAAAAGCTCATAGCAATCATATGAAGTAGTCACTGGTCTTATGCCCATTGCATAGATGGAGAAACCAAGGCATGGAGAGATTAAATAATCTATCCAGAGTCACATCCCTGGTAAGTGGTAGAATCTGGATTTGGATTCCAGAAGTTTAGTTCAAGACCTCCCCATACTATGTCCCTCCAAATGTTCTTCAAATGTGATTCCTGAGGAGATGAGATTATTCCTGTCCATTGATGAACCCTATGACATTCCTGGTTCTCTAACAGTTCCTGGAGATAGCAGTCCTTCCTTCCTTCCTTCCTTCTTTCCCTCCCTCCCTCCCTCCCTCCTTCCTTCCTTCCTTCCTTCCCTGGGGGTTGAACTCAGGGGCACTTTACCACTGAGCTACAAAACCAATCCCTTTTATTCTTCAATTTGGGACAGGGCCTCATTAAGATGCTGAGGTTGGCCTCAAACTTGCAATCCTCCTGCCTCAGCCTCCTGAGTCACTAGGATTACAAGTTTGTACCACCTCATCCAGCTTAGTCTATGAAATTTCTTATCCTTTTATTATTTCTTTTTTTCTTTCTTCTTCCATCCTTTCTGCCTATTTTAGTAAATTTGTAAAGATTTGTAAAATCTTTGCTTACATTACTTTTTACCTCTTATTCTCCCTCATGGATCCATTCTTCTTGATGCTGATACATCCTTTTTACTATTTAT